GCACTGGCTCTTCCCATAGAGGGGAGAGAGATTGGGAGAGGGGTGAGCACTGGCCTTAGAAAGCAGAAATTTGGTCCCATTTCTGCCCAGCCTTTCTTATATCTCATCCTGTAGGCATCTGGGTCTTACCCTGACCCCTCCCATTTCCTCAGCAGGTCTTTTGAAAGTTCACAATTGACCTGAAATGGAGAATAACCAGAAGGCTGCCGGTCTCCACGGAACATTACACCATGTTTCTCTGCCTCTTGTAATAAGTGGATGGATGGAAGAATGGACAGATGGGTGGATGGAAAGATGGATGGACTGAGTTAAGTAATGACAATTAGAGAGCTGAGTGTTCTGTACCCCTGCCCTATTTGCACTGTCCTATTTCCTAGTAGTAAAGGGGACATGATGCTTGCCCCGTCCCAGGATGAGTCTAAGGTCAATATCTTCTGCAGCTGGAGTTCCTTAGATGTTCTGTGTTATCAGGCTGGTACTAACTAATTAAACCTACAGAAAAACAGACATTCCCTTTTCATCTTCCAAACAGGGCCGTACTCACAATGCTGTCAGCCCCTGCTCTCACTGTGGCTTTCTGGCCACAGCCTGGCTTCAGCCATCAGAGTTTGTTCTGTCCCTGCGACCACCAGACATACTCTTTCTTGCATTCACCACCTCTCCAAGTCTATGATGGAGTCCCGTGGGGCAACAGAGATGTCTGACCCAGCACTGTTTATCTGGCTGTGAAACCACTAATAACATAGGCAATGACAGTAGCTACAGAACAGGGGGCCAGTGTCTGGTGTCTGCCAAGGCTTTATGGGTGACTCTCTCCCCCTTCAACAAACACTCATTAATGTCCCCACCTTCTTATTATCCATACTGCACCAAAGACATTGTGAAATCTCTAGGCTCTTCTTCCTCCCTGTCCTGGAGCCAATTATAGAGATTGCTGCAGGCGTGACCCACTCTGACCAGACAGTATAAACACAGTGCAGATGCCCCGGAGAGAGCAGTTGGAGGCTCCAGGCATCAGGGTCCCCAGCACCCAGGATCTTCAGGTCAGTGGTGGACAGGTAGTATTCTCTCTCTCTTTCTCTTTTCTTCTCCCTTCTGTCAATATCTCTGATTCACCCCTTGCCCCTTCACCCCTCTTGTCAAGCTCTCCAGGGTATCCCCTCCACAGAACAGGGTGGGATGCTAAACAAGCCTAGGAGCACAGAGAGAGATTTGAGAAGGAATAGATTTGGTCAAATCAAGATTTTTAAATATTTACAAGCATGGATTTTAGAAAGTAGTCTCAGAAGAAATCATCTAGGCCAGTGGTATTCAAAGCATGTCTGGTGAAACTTGAGTTTTCCTTAGTTCCTAGTTCCTTGGGAGTTCCCTAGCGACTGCTTCATAGGCAAGAGGAACACTAGCATGGCTCTAGTGTCACCATTGCTTTCTGTGTCAAAAAAAGCACGGGTCCCCTTTATCTATTTTACATTCATTAGGTTTCTGCATAAACTTTCATTGTGAAACTTAAAACAGTTTTAAAAGATACTGGGCTTGCCCAACCTCACACTCCAGTGATGATAAATTGGAGGCCCAGAGACAACAGGCGGCAGGACAAATTGCCAGCAGAGCTAGTCTGCAAACCAGCAATTCAAAGTCCCTTGTGAGTGTTTCTAGGCCCTGCTTGCTTGCGAGCACCAAGCTGTGTCAGTTAGGGTGGTTGGGGAGAGCTTCCAGTGAGCTGTAAGCCATGCTCCATGACTTCAAGATCATATTAACTTTTATAAGGGAAACAAATGTCTTTATGTACTACAATAAATGATATAGTAAAATTTAATAGGAGTTCAGAATAGGGTGACAATAGTAAGGGAAAGATTCATTAAATTCTGAGTCATGGAATTGTCTACAGTTTGACCTAAAAAGAACCTTAATAACCACATAATCTAATCCCATGAATTTATGGATGCTGAAACTGAGGGTTGGAGGTTAAGAGGCATAGTCCTGTATGTCCGAGCTGTTACTCTGAGCCGATCATTGATTTGGCAGAACTAGATACTGAACTCGTGTATACTGATACCATGTCCCGTGATCTTCGTACTGAAAGATCTGGGTGGGCAGTGATGGGGAGGGATGAATTTTGAGGCAGGGAAGTCAGAGACAACTGTGAAGATGCCCACTGAGAAGATAAGAAAGAAGTCATGTTGCCTGGAGGGGCCTGTTAGGATCCACCGAGAAGTGAGACTCTATCATACAAGTGAATCAGGGCCAGATGGTGGCAAAACAGGCAGTCACTGCGGACTGTAGATCTGGGTGGGATGTAGGGGAAGAAGTCCTCAGAATATGGGTCCAGGGACCTCACATAGGTTGGGCTGGGTTGAAGATAGATAATCCAGGAAGAAAAGCACAGTTGTAACGGTGATTAATAACACAAAGTTATATTTTAAAGGACCAGTGTATCAGAACTTGTTGGTAAATCAAACAGTCAAGTCAGGAGAAGTGGGAGATATTGTCAATGATTCTCAGGTTTTGAACATCACTCATGAGAGGAATGTTATGGCAGTGAGAAAAATGAATTTGGAAGGAATAAGAGGGTTGGGAGGAAGAGAAGACAATTAACTTGACCTTAGATATATTTGATTGGCTCTCAGCAGATATCCAAGGTGGGGTGGTGTTCTATAGACTGCTGGGAGTAAAGTAGGGTGTTCAATCTGGGTTTGGTTGGCTTTAGGCCAGGACGATCATTGCAGCCTTAGAAATCTATGAGTTGCCACTCCAGGGGATATGAAATAGAAATGCTTATGACTTTCTCTTGTGACTGTAAGCATTAGGGACAGCCCCAGAAGGAGGGAATATCTACCATAGGCCTGAGAAGCAGAAGAAAAGAGGTGTGAGGGTGTCAACCAGTGTCAAGGGTTCCAAAGGGGCAGCAAGCAAACATCAAAGGAACCCAAAAAGAGACTTTGGATTTGGGTCCAGAATTTAACATTTGGTCTTGGAGAGGACACACCACATAGACATGTGCAGGAGAATGAGGAGAGGAGAGGGAAGGCGGGATGTGCAAAAGAACATGGAGAAAGCCCAGGGCTATTCGGTGTTGGTACTGGATCCAGGACAGGTGAATTGAGGAGGTCTGAGACAGCCAGAGGCCATGTCCAGGGAGAAATGACAGGAAGGAATGTGGGATACAGGCCAAAGTCCAGTGAAAAGTCACTTGGGGACAACAGGGAAGGGAGAGCTTTGGGGATGGAGTGTGCAGCACATTGGGAAGGCCATGGCAGAGGGCTGGAAGCCAGCTTTCCACTCCTACTCACCCCATCACGATCCAGCCAGAGCTTAGGCAGGGGGCCTGATATGGGAGCCTTCAGGAGAGACACTGGAATTTTTGGCTATGCCAAAATGGGAGGATGGGAGGTTTCTAGAGTCCAGAGGATCCAGCTGGACAGGACTAGCACTGAATTCCTGCCAGTTCTTTGAGCTGACACTGACCAAGAGTGCTCGGGTCATTAGCCCACTTCCCACAAGGCCCTCCACGTGGTCCGCCCCACCTAAACCCGGCACAGTTACCAGGCTGCCCTCCATTCTGCTGCTGCCACCAGAGGAGCCCTGGTGGTCTGGCCAAGAGAGAGCATGTCATCCAGTGGGCTCGCACGGAGGCCATGCTGCTGTTGGATGTTCTGTGGTGGGGGCTCATCTGTCCTCCACTGCTCTGACCGCTGTCCCTGGCCCAACGCTTCAGCATCACCTGGCTTGTGATGTAGAGTCTCGGGCCCCAGTCTAGAACCTAAGGCCAGAATCTATATTTTAATAAGGCTGCAGGTGATTCATATGTTTATTAAAGAGTGAGAAGAACTGAGCTAGTCTACCAGCTCCCCAGCCCGCTGGTCTCTGGAACCACTCGAGGCCCTACTGAATCAGAACCTTCAGCCCAGACAACAGTACTTATAATGAGTCTCCCAGGTGATTCAATGGGCAGGCATGTGTAAATACTTTATTTAAAAGATATTTAAACTTATTTTATATTACAAAGGAAATTCATGTTCAGTGTAAGAAAAATGTTGGGATGTTATTAAAAAAATTTCTCATCCTCCTGTCAGCCACGGGTAAGTGCTACAACAACACCGCAGTCTTTGTTTCTATGTACGTATATGTCTCTATATGTGTGTGGATTTAAATGGATTTATAATGTACAAGTGATTTATAACCTGCATTTTTTCACTGAATACATTTTGAAGGTTTTATGTCATAAAATAGACTTCTACAACATCATCTTTAACAAACACTTTCTTCCTTATTGAATTTGGCATAATTTTTTAGCCAATCGCCTGTTATTGAACATTTAGATTATTTCCAACTTCTCACTATTATAAAAAATAATACAGTGAACATCTTTGTAACTAAACATTAGGGCAATTCATTATTTTTCCTTAGAATAAGGGCAACACATGCTATCACAAAATACATGGTATGCTTGGAGACTTTGATTCACAGAACCAACATCTCTCCAGAATTGTACCCTATCAGTCCATATTATCCTTCACTCTCACTCACTCTTAAATCCCACCCCAACACCCAGGGACAGAAAATGACTTGTTCACAGTGACAGAGTGGCAGATCCAGTACTAAAAGCCATCTCACTACTGCTCCATTTCTTCCAAAATCAGGCCACAGAGCTCAGGTGCTCAGGTGGTTGGAAGCCCAGCCCCCACCACACACCTTCCCTCCTTATGGCCTTACCTGCCTCCCCAAATGTCCCTCCGCATCCCTCTCTGAGCCCCACTCCTTTCCTCCAACCGTCTTTCTTTCTCAGCTCTTCTTATTTTCTGCTTTCTTAGTCATTTTTCTTCTCTTTTTCCTTCTTACTTGGTGAGAATCGGCTCTCCTCAGCAAACCTCAGCCCCAGTCATCCTTGCATTTACTTTTCTGGGTTAATTTTTAATGCCACATTGGCACTGGGTTTCTTTCTATGCTAGATTCTGGATTGGCCTTGCCAAAGGGTGTCATTTTAGGGAAAAGCTCTAGGTCAGGATAATCCATGGGGAAGGAGCAGAGTTCACAGGATGCCGTGTGGCCTGGCGTTTATACAGGAGGTACTATCTTCACTTTAGATTTTTCACCCTCAAAAACGCCAGTGCTGTTTTCCATCTGGAACAGAATGAGGGCGGGTGTTGAACAGGTTGTCTTTGACAGTCTTGGCCAAACGATTCCAGTCGCTAGGAAGGATGCTTTCCCACTCTCCGGGGAGGCCCCATCTGCTCCGCTGGGCTGGAGACCCCCCTCGCTGTGCCTTCCTCCTCTGGTCTGGGCTCTGGGTACTAACCACTTGCTGGGTATGGAGTGGCAGTGTGGTGACCCTAGGGCTGGCTGGGCAGTGGGAGTGGGTCTGAGCTGGGCTCATTCACTAACTGCGAGGCTATGGCACATCCCACCCCATTCTCAGGCCTGGGAAGTAGCTCAGCTCAGCTATTTGGGAGAACCTGTCATCAGGTGTTCCAGAACCAGCACCTGGGCACAGGTCCCAGGCTCACACCCCTGCCGGCTGGACCTGCTCCCAGATGGCCCCAGTGAGGGAGGCAGAGCTGCCTGGAGCCTGCTGGGCTGGCAGGGCCTTGGTGGATTCCTGCAGGCCAGTTGTCAATAAACAGCCTGGGGGGCCTTGGCAGCCTGTGGCTGGGTGGCTCTCAGCCTCAGCATGTCTGCCCCCGGCTCCACCCACCTCCTTCTCCCACAGCCCTTCTCTCCTCCTTCCCAGCGAGGACCAGACACCCCTGATTGCAGAAATGTGCTCCCTCCCCATGGCAAGATACTACACGTAAGTCGTCCTGGCGCCATCCCACTTTCCCAGCCAGGGGATCTGGGGATCATACAGGAAGAGGGAAGGAAGCCTGGGTCAGAGGGTGAGGCTCCTTCTCACCTGGGAACTCTCAGGTGCCCCACAGTTAAGCATCCTCCTCACCACAGCAGCAACAGCTCTTTCTGAATGTCTACAGGACGTCAGCCATCCTACTGCCTCAGCTGTCCTAAGAAGTCTGTAAGGGAAGTGTTACTAACCCCATCTTACAGATATGGAAACTGAAGCTCAAATAAGTTAAATAATTTCCCCCGTGTCACCCAGCTACCAAAAGGCAGAGCCAGGGATCAGCCACCATGTCCTCTGTGCTGCTCCATCTGCTCTCTGAAAGCTCAGAGGCAATTTTGAGTCTCAATGACAGCATCTTTATAGTGGCCTCTGTGGTCTTTACACTCAGTTTGGGCTCCAGCTCTTATTTGCATTTTACCTCCTTCAAGATTTGCATCCTTACTTACAGTTCACTACTTTATTGTTTGTGATTTTGTCAAGTCCTTTGGGGAAGAGATAGGGCATAATAGAAAGAAAATAGGATTGTCCTCTGGCGGGCATTTCATCCCCAGAGGACCTCAACTGCTCTCTGGACCCTGTACTGTCCTGGACAAGGTGTGGGGGCGGGAGACGGGAGGAGTGCTGGCCTCCTGGAGGTGACAGCCTGGCTTGGAAGGTAAGATGCATATGCAGGAAATAAGCAAATGACAAAACAGAAGTCAACACTTCAGGGCATTGAGCTGGAGTCCTGGTCTCCAAATAGGATGTTGCTGGCAGGAGAGTTGGCAGGTCCCTTTATCAAGGTTGGAGGGGAAATGAGTGTTGATAAATCTAGGATCTTTCCAGACCTTTATTTTTATTGTAGGAGTGAACCTACTTTAAACATGTAGTCATTCGCTAAGCATATTATAATATAATCCGCTGTTATTGAGAGTGAAAGGCTCCTGGAGGTGGTGGCATTGGTCCAGAGGTTCTGCCCTAACAGGTGACAGAGGAGAGCTCCCCAGGCCCTGCGAGCAGCTGACAGGCATCTTTGAAACCAGCCAGGCAACTGAGCTAATAACCTGCCTGACTTTAAAGTCTTTAAAACATGTGAAAAGCAAATCACACTTCAGTATATACTCAATCGATCCTTTTATTAAAGAGAATAAACATTTATGAAAAACTGGGGCAGGGTCAGAAAATCTGGTATAAGGCTCTCCAGAACCCAGAGACATCTGAGCCTCCCTAGGGAGTTTCTCGGGAAGCCGGGAAACAGAACCCAGAGACATCTGAGCCTCCCTAGGGAGTTTCTCGGGAAGCCGGGAAATCTTCACTCCTCCATGAGAAGGCACTGGTTCCCCACACTGCCTGAGGGCCTCGGAGTCACCCAAGCCGGGTGAAAGCAGGAAGTACGGCTTCTAAAAGCGCCAGCCCAAGAGGCCTTCCTTGCTTTAAGACCAACCTGGGCTTTACCTGCTCTTGGGAGGAATAGTGCCCCATTTCACACCTGCGGAGGAGAGAAAATCCCCCAAATGCCCAGGGTGGTGATTCAGAGCACGGGGGTGGAAGGGCGTGGGGACAAGCGGTGTCTCAAGGGAGTGGGCCACTGGCATGTCGCACTGTTTCAGAATGAAAGATGCAGATCAGAAGGCTCTGTACGTGAGAGACGGCCAGCTCCTGGTGGGAGATCCTGTTGCAGACAACTGCTGTGCAGGTGAGCTTCTGGGGCCTCCGCCAGAAGGTGGCAGTGAGGGGGCGAGACCCCTACAGAAGTCCCTGCTCACCCTGCAGCCTGCAGGCAGAGCCAGGCCAAGTGTGTCCACACCCAGCTCCTTCCTGCCCTCGCCTTTGTCTGCCGAGGGCCTGTACCCTGGGGTCTCCCATCCTTGACTCTCTTCTCTCTTCCCTACCAGAGAAGATCTGTGTACTTCCAAACAGAAGCCTGGACCGCACTAAGGTCCCCATCCTCCTGGGGATCCAGGGAGGGAGTCGCTGCCTGGCATGTGTGGAGACGGGAGAGGGGCCTTCCCTGCAGCTGGAGGTGAGAGACCCCTCCCCATTCTGGGGGACGCTGCAGACCTGGTCTGGCCTCCAGGATGCTCGGGCATCTCTGTGGCCCTCTGTGATGCCCTGCTAGGTCCAGGTCCACACATCCTCCTCCCTCAGGTTTTTACCATCTCCCTCTGCACCTAGTGCCAAGACCCCAGCCCTCTGGAACCTGCAGAAGGCAGTTCTCTGGGTAAAGGCCCACCCTGTTAGCTCCCTCTTTGGCCAGGCCTTGGGAGCCTCTAGGGCTGACACCTTGATTGGCACCCTCATCCTGCAGCTGGCCACTTTGCCCCCACAGGACGTGAACATTGAGGACCTCTACAAGGGTGGCGAGGAGACCACACGCTTCACCTTCTTCCAGAGCAGCTCGGGCTCCGCCTTCAGGCTTGAGGCAGCTGCCTGGCCTGGCTGGTTCCTCTGTGGTCCAGCTGAGCCCCAGCAGCCAGTACGGCTTGCCAAGGAGAGTGAGCCCTCGGCCTGCACCAAGTTCTACTTTGAACAGAGCCGATAGGGAGGCAGGAGGCTGAGTTCCAGCCTGGTGCCCCCAAACCAAGTTATTCCTGCTCAGGGTCTGTGATAGGCAGAATTATGGCCCCAAAAGATGTCCACAGCCAAATCCCTGGAGCCTGTGCATATGTTACCTCATGTGGGAAAAGAGGCTTTGCCAATGTGACTATAGTAGGGATCTTGGGATGGGGAGGCCATCTGGGCATACGCTGAATTTAAGGTGGGCCCAGTGTAATCACAAGGGTCTCATGAGAGGGTGGCAAGAGGGGACACTCAGAGAGGGGGTTGAAGATGCTAAACCAGGGGCCCTGAGCCGACAAATGCAGGTGGGTTCTAGAAGCTGGAAAGGCAAGGGCATGGATTCTGTTCTAAAGGCTCCAGAAGGAGCACAGCCCTGCTGACACCTGGATTTTAGTCCACTGACACCCATTTCAGACTTCTGACCTCCAGAACTGTAAAATAATAAACCTGTGTTGTTGTAAGCCACTCAGTTTGTGGTAATTTGTCACAGCAGCCACAGCAAACTACTGCGGAGCCTCAGTCTACCTGTGTGTGGTGCCAGATGAAGGGGGCTTGGTAGCTTGGTGAGTTCTTCTTGGAAGGCTGCCCACAGCCTCCCCTCCAGTCCATGCTCCGGATCCTCTAGAAACAACCAATAAGCCCCAAGCATAATCCAGACTCCTCTGTGCAGGCACAAAGCCTTGGCCTGCTTTGCAATTTCAGCTTTCTTTCAAGTGCTGTGAGTTTTCTACCAGACACTTCACAGTGAATCGGTTATTCAACCAACTGATCAGTACTGTCAGCTGCCCACTGGTTTTGGTGTGTGGGGAGCCAGGAGTAGTAGTTGAAGGGCAGGTGATGAGTGTTCCTGGACAGGTTGAGTTTAAGGTTGCAATGGAACCCCTGAGTTGAGGTGACTTGGTGTGGCCGGGAATACAGGAACAGCTGAGAGTTTGCAGCTGGAACTCACACGCATCCTCAGAGCTTGAATGCTTCTCCATTTCATAGGGTATCTGTGGTCGGGCTCAGGCTCGAGCAGAGAGCCTGTGGTCCTGGTCTCAGGGCTCAGAGGAGGCGTGGGCTGCTGGCGCTCTCCCTGTGTGTGAACTACTCAGCATCCACCCAGCACGCTCTGAGTTCCAACCAGGGGTCAGGGAAAAAAGGCTGTCATTATCCTCACAATGACCCTGCAAGGCAAGCATTCTCCCCTCCATGTGACAGATGAAGAAACTGGACTAAGAGAAGGGAAATAACTTGCTGAAGGTCACAGGGGCTATACATGTCAGAGCTCAAGAGAAAACCTGGCCCGTCGGACCCCAATGTCATTCCACAAATTTTTATTCCACCCCAGGAGCCAGGGATAGAACTGTGAAAAAAACCAAACTTCCTTGGAACTGATAACTGAGTGGGAGAAACACTAAACAAGCAGATTAACAAGCAGGAAAAAAAAATAAGAGCACTTTCCATGATTAGAAGGTGAGGGCAGCAGGTGTTTAATGGAAACATTGGATAAAGTAGTCAGGGGAGGTGACTGTTTTGAAGAGGTGACTTTTGAGCTGAGGCTGAAGGGCAGGAAGGAGCTGAGACTGGGAATGATCCAGGCAGAGGAATAGCAAATGCATCAGCCCTGCGACAGAAAGGAGCGGTGTGTTCCAATGACAGCAGCAGATGGGGTGGGAGTGGGGCCAGAGCCTGGAGAGGAGGGAGGAGTAGGGCACGAGCAAGACCCGCAGGTGGGCTCAGAGGATTTCCTGCAAAAGGAAACTGCAGAAGGCTTTGAGCAGAGGAGACACGTGATGGGCTCCACAGCTCCCGTACGCTTAGGTTCTTTCCCTGGGCTGCTTCTCCATAACCTGTGTGCACCCTAGTTACCTTATCACCTGGCTACCCCATTGTGACCATGTGTTTACCTGTGGGGACTCTGTGCTGTCTAAGCATATGCTCTGTATAACTTTGTATCACCTGTGGCCAGAATAGCTGCTAGTACATAGAAGATGCTGAATAGGTGCAAAGTCTTGAATGAGTTAGTGGGTGATCCTTTGGTTCTTGTTGGACGTTCATGATACCATTTGAGGACAGCTGTGGTGCAAGGGACGGATGCCCCTGAGCTGTCAGGGAGGGCTGGGCAGGGCTTAACAGAGGAAAGAGCATTTAATCTGGGCCTCAAAAAAAAAAAAGTAGGCCTTTTCCAGGCAGAGAACTCAGGGATGGGCATCCTAGGCAGGAAAAACAGCTCAGGAAGGTGCGATGGAGGAAAGCTCCCAGCACGTCCAGGGCGGGGTGAGTCGGCAAAGTGGCTGGGACCCAGGGCCTGTGGCTGACAGGTTGCTGAAAATTCAGGTGGCAAGATGGGTGGGGCCTGATTGCAAATGCGTTGCGAAGGAGTTTTATCTGGGAGGCCCTGAGGAATCATCCAAGTATTACAAGCAGGACCCAGATTGTAGTCCTCAGCACGTGAGATCTATGTCAGACTGACCCAGAAATTACTAGGGCCTCAAAGTAGGCCTTAGATCCTCTCCGCTTCTTCCTCCTGCCTCTTGTCTGCCCGCCTGCCTGCTGTCTGTCGCAGCCCTGGGGTCAGCTCTGGTACTCTGGCCCACGTTCAGCCTGACACTTGCTTTAATTCTGCGTGGTGAGCTGGTCTTCTTCATGCATGTGTTGAAAGGTAAACTTGGCCACATTGAAATTTTGAAGAGTTGACTTGAGCAGAGAGCAATTCATGAATCAGGCAGCACCAAACTGCCAGCAGTTCAGGGCTCGCCAAGAGGGCATGGTGAACACTTGTATAAGGTATTCGGGAAGCAAAAGTAAGAAAAAATGTGATTGGTTAAAATGGACAGTTCCTACCTAGAAGGTTACTTGGCAGTTAAGTTTGGTTAAGTTTCATTTTCTTAGGCTATTACCATTCACCTTGGGTTGGATTTCAGTTTGCTTAGCAGGAACCCAGGGTGCTGGAGCCACCTTAGCCTAATAACTTCCCCAATTAATTATGTTAACACATGGTAACTCATTTCTACTGGCCCTTCCCTTGCGAACTGTGCCCACGCCAGGCCACCCAGGCAAACCCAGGCCTCCTCCTACTAGTGGGCCCTGCCCCAAGTTGGATCGTGTTCTCTACATAAGTAAAAAATATTTCAAGCACCTAATATATGCCAATTCTGTATCAGTGCCCGGAAGAGGAAGAGGCCATAAAGACTTAGAAGACATGGTCCCTACTCTTCAAGGACATACAGTACAGGCAGGAAGACCAGACCTTATGAATAAAAGCTAATGTTTGTTGACTGCTTTTTATGAATGACTAGACGACACTCCAAACAGCACTCAGAGGGCCTCAGATTCAAATTCTGCAGAACGCTGGTAGAAATAATGATGGGATGTTCTTGCACTGGGGATTTAAAAGTAAGAAATGGGGGCAGCTTCTGACAGGCGCAGTTCAGGGATGCCAAGAACATTCTTTCCCCACGCCCCAAGGCTTGTCCCTTAAATTCCTTCTTCCTGGAGACCACACCAAAGTCTTCACTCCACAACCAGGCTATGAGGGTTATTATTATGTGAAGGCGAGGGAGAGGCATGCCTGTAGGTCTTATCCAATATTTACATCTCAGGATGAACTGGTAGGTCCGGAGACAGAAAGCCAGGCGATTGGAGGATTCTACCAAAACAAAGAGTCTATCTATCCCACAGCAAATTCCAATCTCCGCTCTAAAAAGCACAGACCAGAATGAGTGAGATGTGCACCATCTGGGGATGGTCATGATGGAGACTCAGACTTTTGGGGGGAGGGGGGAAATGGGCATTTATTGAAACCTTAAAATCTGTACCCCCACAATATGCCGAAATAAAAAAAAATAAAATAAATAAAAAAATAAAAATAAAATAAAAAGCACAGACCCCACGCAGTTAGAGGCTGGATCCCCAAGCCCATTGCTGAAGCGGGGAGCCTGCAAGTGTGGCCTTTGGGCTGCAGATGGCGACAGAGATCAATCTTGGCACTGCCTTCTGAGGGCCTGGAGCTGCGTGAGCCCTTAAATTTAAGTCTAAGTACTTGGTACGGGTAGACACTGCATGTCAGCCCCAGTGCCTCAGATCTCTGCCTCACTTACCGCAGATGCATCTTTCTCAAGCAACATATGGGTGCAGACCTAGGCCACGTGAAGACCTCGCAGAGCTCTGCGTGCTCCTTCCTTCTGGTAACAAGAGTTTTTTTGACCCCTCCTTGACAAGAGGGACACGGCCCCTGCCCTCTAGGTGCTTAGAGCCTGGGAGGCAAGATAGATGTTAAATATATGCTCACTTTTACCGTTTTTGCACATATGTGAAGGAGCACAGATGTATGCTGAATCCCTAATCCCTATGACAGAGATGCTGCCGGGAATCGTTCTCCTGTACACACATTCCCTCCAACTCCCTTGGGTCACCCTTGCCCAGGCCCTGCTCACAGAATCAGAGTGACAAAGGAGGCTGGGACCCTGGAGTTCTAGCAGAGGCTCTCTACACTGGGACATTTCTCACAGACATGCTCTGAGGTTCCGTGGCCATAGGACCCAAGATATAAAAAATATCTTGGGTCATGTAATATCTTGGGTATTTGGTCAGTGCCAAATATCTTGGGCACTGGTCATATAAGCTTGTCTATATAAAGGACCACAGACTCAGGCACCTCCTAGCTTAGCATTGTTCAGACTGGTTCCAGGGACACTATTCCAACAAATGCTCATAGGTTTCTGGGGAAAGTGGGTTACCTCTGCTCTCCTTTTCTGCATGCCTGTCCTGTGCTCTCTGCTTCAGCCACACTGGTCTCCTCTCTGTTCTCCAAAGACAAACACTCCAGGCACGATGCCACCCCAGGGCCTTTGCACTGGGCTTCTGTTTGGAAGGCTCCTTCCCCAATTATCTGCATGGCTCACTTCCTCAGTAAGGCCTACCCTGGTGACCCCATTTAAAATTACAATACCCACTCCTCCTCCAAATCTCAGCACTCCTAGGTCACTTATGGTACTATCACATTCTGATAGACTCTATAATTTATTTTAGTTTTTTCCCTCACTGTCTGCTAGGATGCATGATTCACAGGGCAGAGGTTTTAGTTTGTTTTGTTCATTTATATATCACCAGCATGCACAAGCATCTGTGGCATGTGTCAGGCACTCAGCAACAATTTCTGAATGAATGAAAGAATAATGCACAGGGAGTTGGGAGAAACGTGGTTAGTCAGGTCCCCATGGGCATCCATCCTAGGAAGCCCAAGCAAGGTTTCCAAAAGAGTCCAACTTAGAGGCCAGGGTCTAGCGAATAGCGCCAGGATCCCTGTCCAGATTTGTCAGGAAGAACTGTGGCAGTGGACAGGTGGGAGGAGTGGAGAGAGGGAGGAGTGGAGGAGTGGAGAAAGTGGGGAAAGGAGTAGAGAAGGAGGGATAGTGAGGGGTGTATGGGGCCAC